TTATTTTACAATATTAGTATACAATATTATTTTACAATATTATTTTACAATATTATTATACAATATTATTTTACAATATTATCATACAATATTATTTTATAATAGTATTCCACAATATCATTTTACAACACTTCGCTGCAATTGTGCAATCAGTATTTCGCAATATTATTTTACAATATTAGTATACAATATTATTTTACAATATTATTTTACAATATTATTATACAATATTATTTTACAATATTATCATACAATATTATTTTATAATAGTATTCCACAATATCATTTTACAACACTTCGCTGCAATTGTGCAATCAGTATTTCGCAATATTATTTCACAATATTATTTCACAACATCACTTCACAATATTGCGTTATATTTTTAAGATATTATTTCGCAACGCGACGCTCTGCAATTTCTGTGATAAAAATAAAACGCGCACCGTTTCACATGCACTGGACCTAGAACGCCCTTGAACCGTAACGTTCGGGAGCAACAACGATTAAGACGATTTGCACAGCAGGAAAATCGGATCGTATTGTTAAAGGTGTTGGTCGGCGACGAATACAACGCAGGATGGCTGCCGACAAAGCTCGCCGAAGATACTTACGAAATTCTTTCGAGTCACTGCTCAATGATGGAAGAATATTACGAACGCGACAGTAATAATTGCTACATCCTGAAGGCTGGCAGGTAAGTTAAGGTTTTATTGTCGGGCTTGCATGTGAGGAAAATATGAAATGGCGTTCGAAAGTAATAAAAAAAAACCGGTGCAAACGTGAAATCTAGAAAATCCGCAATTTTTTACGGTCCCTGCTTCCTGCGCTATTTTACGTTTCTCTTTCGACGCTTTTCAAACTCGTTGTCGTTTTTTCGTTGTCAACTTTTGCGTTCTAGCAATTTTTGATAAAATAGCGTGGCATGCAACTGCAATTTCAATTTTTAATAAGATTGTACGTCATGTAACTGCAATTTCAATTTTTAATAAAATCGTACGCCACGTAACTGCAATTTCAATTTTTAATAAAATCGTATACTATGCAACTGCGATTTCAATTTTTAATCAAATCGTAAGCCATGCAACTGCAATTTCAATTGTTAATAAGATTCTATGTTACTGCAATTTCTATTTTTATTTAGTATTGTTTATGCGCATTTGTTTCGTCGATTGCTACGTTTAATTTGTTATTTGAATGTATTGCGCCACCGGATTCGATATTATTGTTTATTTATTACTTGAGCCGTTCGTTTCGTGTTAATAATTTACTGTTAATTTCGTGGCACTATTTTCTTATTTGTCAGATACGGTACAGTAGAAGACAGTTGGCAGAGCAAAGAACCAACGATGAGGGAAGCTTTGAAGAAAGCGGCAGAAGCCATTGTTTCAGAGAAACGCGACAATGAGGAAATCAGACAAATATTGAAGAGCACTGCGGAAAGACAATTGGAGTACGCCTTAAGTGAGTGACTATTTAAAAGGAGCACTTTCTCAATTGAACATACTCGAAACTAAATTTTACAAATGACCACCATCATACAAATCACAATTTTTCTGTGATCTCAATTTTCATTCGCTACAATTTCAATTAGAATTACCCTAATTTCACCCTAATTTCGTGACTTTAACAATTATTCATAATATGATAGTAGAACGCATCGAAATATACGAAGTTCTAATCGAAATTGTAGCGAACTCATAAAAATATAGTCTTCTAATATATTGAATAAGAAACTAATAATTTCGAAAATAATAAATTCCAAATGTATGCGAATAAAATGGCAGAGAATTAATTAATGAAACGAAAGTATAGCACAATCGTATGAAGAAGCATACCTAAAAGACGATGATGGTATCGACGATGTTAAAAGAGACAACGAGGATTCTGCTATAACGGATCGTCTGCCGCAACTTGTATAAACATTGTTGATGTTCCCAATTTATGTGCCGGCGTAATTAATAATATGATCGTGTCGTGTAACAGAGCTTATTAAACCGTATGACGTTTGGAATTTATGCGACAGCGTTGGACGAAACTCGAGAGGGGATCATAACGGTGGTGCGAACATGGAAAGGGAAGAAAAGTCCAAGGTCGGTGGCGTCGTTGAAAACTCTGGCGTCGGATAATCTTCCGTCGGACAACATAATAAACGTGGAAGTAGAACAGGAACCCGGCGGTATTAATCCGAACCACAGGTCGCACAAGGTCTACCTATCCCACGTGTGCCGTTTGCTGGTGAACCGAGTGCAAACTCTGGTTAACGCGTCCATCGAGGCCGACCCCGAGATGAAAAGCAAAAAGAAAATGGTGCAGGAGGTTTACGCCGAGAGCCTGATGCACCTCGCCCTTCTCAGGAACGTGAAACCTTGCGAGGAGACCAACGAACACATACAACGGATTAAGGAGCTTTTAATATCCGGTAAAGATGGCTTTCGTCGGTAGACAGAGCTCCCTCTATATTGCGTTACTCCGCAAGCATCTTTCTATTTTAGCTGCTGGAAAATGGTACTTGGTTTGGGACATAAACACATGATAGAAACACATTCGAGTAGACGATAGAGAACATTCGGGTTCTGATAAGTTTGACACTGTTGACAGATTATACAAGCTTTATTTTACTCGGTAGGCAGACTCTATGCCTGAGGAAATAGATTTTGTTTCACTTGTCTGACTAGGAAGATTTTGTTTCACTTGTCTGAGTAGGAAGATCTTGTTTCACTTGTCTGAGTAGGAAGACCTTGTTTCACTTGTCTGAGTAGGAAGACTTTTTTCACTTATCTGACTAGGAAGACTTTGTTTCACTTGCCTGGTTAGGTTATTATTACATTATTATTACAGTATTATTATTATTATCATTATTACTATATTATTATTATTATTATTATTATTATTACTATTATATTATTATTATTATTATTACTATTATATTATTATTATTGTTATTACTATTATATAAGTAATTGTACCACTTGTCCGATTAGGAAGATTTTGTTTCACTGGTCTGACCAGAGAGATTTTATTCCACTTGTATGACCAGAGAGATTTTATTCTACTTATCTAACCAAATAGATTTTACTCTTTTCGTCTGACAACATTGATTTTACTAATCTTACCTGGCAGAATAGATTCGATTACACTTCTCTGACAAAATGAATTTTACTCTATTTGTCTGATTAAACAAACTTGATTCCCGTTTCACTTATATAACTAAACAGACGTTGTCCTATTTGTCTAACTAAAAAGGCCACTTGCCTGTCTAGGGAGACTTTATTCCACTTCTCTGACCAAATCGACTTTATTACACTTGTTTGACTAGACAAACTTTACTCCACTTACCTGATTAAGATACGTACTGTTTCGCTTGTCCAACTAGAAACAGATTTTAAATTCGCCTGATCAAGCACTACTTATTCCACTTTGCTTACTAAGTACCTCTAATTCTACTTGTCTCATTAAATACCTCTGATTCCACTTGTCTGACTAAATACCTCCGATTTCACCTGTCTGACTAAATACCTCCGATTCCACTTGTTTGTTGAAACACCTTTAGCTCCACTTGCTCCATCAAACATCTTTAATTCCACTTGCTCCATCAGACGTCTCGAACTCCGATTAGACATCTTTAATTTCACTTATTCAACAAAATGAACGTTATTCCATTTCTATGCCCACGCGAATCTCGTTACAACTGTCATTTCAAATACTCCAATTAGTTCAGCGTATTTCCTTAATAACCAAAATTAAACGTACCAAATCGTTTCGTGCGAATATCATTTATGAGAAACGCTTAATCCTCCAACCGTTGGCGTGCTAAAGTAGAAGAGTATGCACATGTGATCTATTGCGCGCAGGTAAATGCCAGAAGCATGGTCCGATACTGGTGAAGGGTGGAAAATATTCCGGTAAATCGTCTCTGCTCTCGAGGATTTACATGGAAGCGAGTTCCTGGCTGGGTTCCACGACATTTCCAGTAGTTCGGCTCTGCTCCTCCACCCCCCGGTCCGCTTACAGTTTAGAGCTGCTTCGAGTACTATGCCAACATATCGGATTCCTCTCGGGCCAATTGGACGGTACCCTGCCGAAAGACGCTTCCTTCGACCCGCTCTATTTGAACAACTGGTTCGGCCAGATCATGAGAAAGATCGAGGAGGAGCCTCTGAAGGAACAGCTGTTGATCCTGATCGACGACCTGCATCGGCTGCTCCCCCTGGAATGCGACATCATCGCCGCTCTGTCGTGGCTGCCTTTAAATTTACCTGCAGGTGCGACAGGAGATAATTAAATTAAATTTATTATTAAATCTACAGGATGTCCCATAATTATGTTAACATCTGGAAAGAGGGCGATTTCTGAGGTTATTTGAAAGAACTTTTTCCTCAGCGAAAATGCAATTCATGGCTTTGTTTAGGAGTTATTAACGAAAAACAGTGACCAATGAGAGGCGAGGTCCAGTTGACGCGAGGCGGTCGAGCCAATGGGCGGAACTGCGCTTCGCGCGACCGTCTCGCGCCGGCCAAGCTCGCTTCTCATTGGTCACCGTTTTTCGTTAATAACTCGCAAACGAAGTCGTGGATCGCATTTTCGCTAAGGAAAAAGTTACTTGAAATGACCTCAGAAATCATCCCTTTCCGGGCGTTGACAGTTTGACGGCCGCGGCAAACATCTCGAAAGTTTCATACAATTCAAGTATTTTATTCAATGAAATAAAAATTGCACAGCAAATTTATGTGATACTTTACTTTTACATTACTTGTTCAACATTCTTACCTCTTGCGAATTTTAATAAAATGAAGAAATTACAATGGACTAGCGAAGAAATTGATTCTCGAAAATTAAATTTTAAATAACTCTGTTACACACAGAGTGGTCGATGCGACAATCAAAGTATTAATAGCGTAATTATGATAATAATAATATATAATAATAATTTTATTATAATAATAATAATATATGATTATTATTAATATAATATTAATATATTATTATTTATTATAATAATAATAATATAATAAGCATCAATTAGGTAGAATTTACTGTACTTAGGTAGCCACTTTTGGCCAGGACACCCTGTATAACTACTGTACGTGTTTCAGGGGTGCATCTGGTGGTAACGACGGCCATTCCGCCGGAAATGCTGCGGTTGACGCCAACGCAGAAGGAACGGCTCCGAAGTTCTCAGATCTTGGTCGAACTTCAAGATCCACCGTTGGACGCGCAGGACGCGGATAACGTGTTCGATCAATTAGAGAAACTGGTGGGTCGGTGTGCCGCAGACAGGCTCGGCGCGATTCTGGCCTCCTCGGAGTACGGTCTCTCTGAGACCGAAGTCCTCGAAGTGATCATGCCAACGATCGAAGACGGCCCGCTATTTCTCAAGGACGGGAAATACAATTTCTCGACGTGGACGTTGGCCAGAAGAACGTTCGCCGATTATTTGAAGGTGCTCTTTAAAAATATAACGTATATATATCAGGTTAGACAAAATTGTAGCTCCGTGTTCCATCGTGCTGTCGAGGCTACGACGGTAATTTAAAAAAACTGTAACAGATCCGTCGCGCATTTGAAAACGATTAAAATAGAATTATACGCCCATGACGCGTCTTACAAAAACTATTTTGCACCGTTGAAGGTTTGCGTGATGAGCGGAAGACTGTTGTTCTCGTGGCGCTATCCGATCCGAGATCTGGCGAGAAAACGGTACTTCGCTAATCAGGAGATCCTGAAGAGCTACCACGGCGAGCTGGCGAACCTCTTCTTCTCGGAGGAGTTCGATGAGAAGGACGACAAGTCGTCGCCGGAAGAAGAGACGCCAAAGAAGACGCCGTTTCAGAGTAGACCGAGATCCAACGACACCGCGTACAACTTGAGGCACGTGGAGGAGGCTTGGCTGCATCTTCTGAGGGCCGGGGACGTCGAGAAACTGAAGAAGTTGGCCGTGTGCGCCTTCGACTTTCTGCTCGCCGCGGTACAAATGGTCTCAGTTAGCTATTTGAGGTGTGTCTTGGAGCATTCGCGGAGGTACTTGCTGGAGAGAGACTTGGAGTTGGTGTATTACACCGTGAGAAAGTGCAGCGACATTTTGACGAGGGATCCCCTGCAACTGGGAGCCCAGCTCATCTGCTGGCTGAGACCTGTCGCCGAAGATTGCGGAGACTTGGTAGGAGACGTTCACCTTCCTGCAGAAATATAGTAAATTCTGCCCAATTTTCCTTCGGATTGTACACAAAAATGGACAGTGTGGGAAGAGGAGACACGATTATTCGAGCCTCAACAATTATGAAAACGAGGTCCATTTTTGTTTACAAGCTGAAGGAAAATTAGGGGGAATTTACTGTACCGTTCTTGATCTGTTACAACTACAGTAAATTCTCTCGCATTGTCCCTGTGCTATTTCCACGCCTATGCGCGCTATTCCTGCGCCTATGCTGAAGTTTGACGGAGTCAGTTGCGGCACGCGACGCATCAGACTGGAATCTCCAGAATCGTAGCTCATAATATTTTTTTATTTTAACAGTTTAAAACGGAATTCTTTTTTTAACGTATTGCTGATAATTTTCCAATCAAAATGAGACCAAACATGATACAATTTGGACAGATATTCTGATTGCATAACATAAAACATTTTAATTGGAAAAGTCTCACCGATATGTTAAACAAATTTCATTATTTATTAATAGATTAAGAAATGAAGATTAGAAATTGAGATTAGAAATGAAAAATTTGAGGCGTCGTTTTTATTCTTGTGTATTTGTATTAATATACACCGATATGCTGGCCGCTGGCTTTTTAGTTTGCTGACTGCCCCGATTTTCGTTCTCTCTCTCTCTCTCTCTCTCTCTCTTTCTCTCTTTCTCTTCATTTTTCTCTCTTATAAGATAGCAACTATAAAAGCGAGCCGCGAGGTTCAAAGAATCCTGTCTGGTCTCCCGAAATTGTCCATTTTTCGACACCAATCCGAGGGACCATTCCAGAGAATTTCACGGAATTTGTAAGAACAACGTTCGGAAAACAAACAGCTGTATGTGAAAATGTTTCGGATTTAAGGTGAGCAGAATGGTAACAGCGGCGATGGCATGGTGCGACGGCTACACTGCGCCGTTATTAGTGCCATTGAATGGATGGCTGCAGCCACCCTTGCCCCTACAAATTCGCACGCTCTCTTGCCCGCAGGGGGTCAAACTGGTCGAGGTCGCTCCCTCCGGGCAACACGTTATCGTAGTGCCCTTTCAAGGGGACGCCCAACTCTGGCACGTTATGTCCTCCCAGTTGGTCCACACGTTCAAAGGTAAATAGAAACCGCGGTGCTCCCTAATTTTGGCCATTAAAGACGGAACACTGATACCGAAAATCGCCATGATCGTAATCTTTGACCACCGGCCCTGCGTTTGTAATCGTGTCCGTAACCATTATTTTAGGCCACTCGAACCCAATATCATGCTTAGCCGTGACACAACACTCGCAATACTTGCTGACAGGCTCCGAGGACACTTCCATCATCGTTTGGGACATGAAAGAATTCAGTTTAAAGCTAAGAATACGAGAACATATCGCTCCCGTTCTGTGCTTGACCACTGCGCTCAAGAACACTGTGATTGTCAGGTTTACAATTTGTTATTCAGTTACTTGTTAATCTCTTCAAGCTTCTATGCGTCTGGGCAATGCAGTTCGAAAGTCATTCCCGGTTACGTTGGCCGATAAGTTGTCGCGTTTCTCTGTATTTCCATTTGTGGCAAAGAAAAGAAAAAAGAATGAAAGAAAAAACGCAATGACCTATCGGAACCAACCTAACGGAACTGTTTCGTTCAGAGTCATACACGAATTACATACATTGCTATTAGATCTGAACCGGTATGCAGGGTGTTCTGAAATTATTGTACAAGCGGGGAACGAGGGGTTCCCCAGGTTATTTCAAGTAACTTTTTCCTTTGCGAAAATACGATCCGCGGCTTCGTTTGCGAGTTATTAACGAAAAACGATGACCAATGAGCCGTGAGATTAGCTGGCGCGAGGCGGCCGAGCCAAGCCGCGCTCGCCTCTCATTGGTCACTGTCTTTTCGTTAATAACTCGCAAACGAAGCCGCAGATCGCATTTTCGCCAAGGAAAAAGTTACTCGAAATGACATCAGGAACCCCTCATTTCCCGCTTGTACAATAATTTTTGGACACCCTGTATAGATTTGTACAATTCGATCTCTTCTAGTTCCCAAGAACGTTCCTCCACGATCCTCATCGATGTCTCTTTTCTTCGTCATAGCGGCGGCGAGGACTCTAGGATCATCATCACGAGCCTGCTGACCGGCTACGTTCTGATCAAGGTCGACCATCATAGAGGTCCGGTGAACTCTGTCCGCGTCAATTCGGCCGGCGAGATCCTGGTCTCCGGTTCGTCGGACTGCACCGTCTGTCTCTGGTGTCTGGAGAGGTTCACGTTGCTGAAGAGCATAACTCTGCCAACGGCGGTGATGATGCTGGACGTGTCCGCCGATTCGTTGTTCCTGCTGGCCGCCTGCGAGGACCAGAAGCTGTACCTGAGGTCCCTTGCCACGGGCACCGAGATTCATACCTTGAGGGGCCATCAAGGCGACGTGAAGAGCATCTGCTTGGCCAAGGACTGTAGAAGAGCCGTCGTGGGCGGGGCCAAGGGCAAGGTCTCCGTCTTCGACATGCACAGCGGTAGATTGACCAGAACGTTGCCTGCCAATCCCTCTGCCGATGTCTCTGCTGTCAAGGTAGATCGTTTATCGTCGATCGTGTGACTTTTAGCGAGACATCGTTTGAAACGCGCGGATGGCTTTTCGAACAGGTAACAGAGAAGGACGACTTCTTGATCACGGCGACCGGCGACAGAGTCACCTATTGGAGTTTCCGGGGCGAGGAGGCCTTCCCGAAGACCCTGAAGTCTGGGAAACAGGAATCTCTGCACCCTCACACAGCTTCGATCTCCTGTTTGGACATTTCTAGAGACGGAGCGATGGCAGTCACCGGCGGCGTCGACTCCATCGTGAATCTCTGGCAGTTGAACACCCACGAGCTGCTCTCCACTTTCGAGGGACACATCGCCAGCGTGACCTGCATCGCTTTCTCTGCTTCCGGGTTGTTCGTTGCATCCGGTAAGCGTATTCTGAAGGAAGTTAAGAATCTAGTTAAGGAGAAAGTTACTTCACAAATGACCTCAGGAATCATCACTTTCCGGGTGTTTACATAATTATGGGACACCCTGTAATTACCGATTATTGTTAAGAATTATAAAAACGAGTCGCATGACTGGAATAATCGTACCTCCTCTCTCCAAATTGTCCATTTTTGTTTCCAAACCGAGCGTCAATAAGGGAGTTAAGTAGATAATTAGTTTCTCATTGAAATTACGTTTGTACATATCTTCGAGTTCAAGATCATTGTATTAGGTCTACCGGAAAGTTCTGTCTGATAATGTCATTGCAAATTTCAATAGATATGCATATGTTCATTTGAGACATATATTTTTGAAAAATGTTGCCCACAAATTGCCATCACGCTGGCAAGAGGTCATAAGTAACGACGGAAATTATATTGTACAATAAATATTATATTAAATTATATTAATAATTTATTAATTATATATTTATTAATTATACTAATAAATTATATTAGTTATATAAATATTATATTATTTCCTTTCATTTCTCAAACGGACAGAACTTTCCGGTAGACCTAATATAATACACTGTCGAATTCGTCTCGACGTCACCAACAAAAAAACACGTCGACTTTTAGGGCTTTTAGGCATTTCCGGTGGCGCGATTAAAAAATGTTTCGGTCGTAATTTTATCAGTATCGATGTTGCGCGAGAAACATCGATACTGATAAAATTACAACCGAAACATTTTTTAATCGCGCCACCGGAAATGCCTAAAAGCCACCGACGACGAAACTATTAACCCGTACACCCTGCACACGTTTCAGCTAATTGCATCTTCATTTCAGGCTCAGAGGATAAAACGGTCCGAGTCTGGGGTCTGACCTTGGGCCTGATGGTGGCAACGTTCAGGCATCAGGCCCCTGTCACGTCGGTAACAGCTATGTTCGACGGCCGAAGAATCGTCAGCTCGGACAGGAGTGGCGCCATTCGAGTTTGGGCAGCTGATTCCGGTACTCTGATTCAATCCGTTGGCGGACGTGGTCGGTGCATTACGGTTTCCACCGACATGAAGTACGTGCCCATCGTTTTATTGGACACAATTTTGACAGTTTTATCAATCGGTACAGTAAATTCTCCCTAATTGACGCTCAGATTGCGCATAATATTTGATAATAATACGTATATTCTCAACCTATAAAATTACTATTAATTTTAAATTAAAATTCACTTTATTAGTAATACCCTCATAGAATCGATCAAAATAACTGTTAATAAAAATCAATTAAACCATAACTGTATTGAACTGTACCGGATTTTATATTTAATCTATACACAAATTTATAAAAATTAATTGTTACAACTCAAATAATATTTAATCATTCAAATCTACTATTGCTTATAACAAAATTAAAATATAATGTATAATAATAATAAATATATAATAAATATAATAATAATAATAAAATATAAATATAATAATAATAAAATATATATATATAATAATAATAAAATATATATATAATAATATAATAAAATCGAGCCGCAAGGCTCGAATAATCGTACCTCCTCCCAAATTGTTCATTTTTGCGTACAATCTGAGTGTCCGTTAGGGAGTACTAATAAGTACTAATAATAGCGATAAATACCATTTCAGGTTTGCGGTGTGCGACACGGGAGACAATCAAGTACGAATAGTAAGCTTGGGGACCGGCCCGGAAGAGAAGTACCAAGTGTCGCATTCCCAGGACATCACCTGTCTCGTGGTCACCCCGGACTCTCAGTCTCTGATCACAGGCTCCGTGGACATGAGCCTGAAGGTTTGGCAGCTCGCAGGAGGGAAATTGTCGCAGGTGCATTTTCAAACGTCTACAACCCTCTGACTTGGCCCTGGTCCCCTTTGTAACTAGAATTGCTGAATTCCGGTTTAGAAAAATTACTGATAACAACCGTCGATAACAACAATAACGTCGGAAATTTGGACGCAGGTCCTGGTGGGTCATACGGACCACGTGACCTGCGTCGCGGTCGCCGTTCTGGACAAGGCAATCGTGGTGTCCGGGTCGAGGGACGCGAACCTAATCGTCTGGGACATCAACACCGGCGCCGACGTGCACACCCTGAAAGGACATCTAGGCTTCATAACTTGCGTGAGGCTGTCGGGCGACGGAACCTTGGCAGCGTCCGGTAGCGAGGATAAGAGTCTGATCGTCTGGGACACGAAGAAGGGCTGTTCCCTCAGCAGCATCATGCTGCACGTGCCGGTGGTGGGTCTGGAGGTGGCTATGGACATGTCCAGGCTGGCTCTACACCTGCTCGAGCACAAGTGCATGCCTATACTCTGTTTGCACAACACTCCGGCCCAGTATGTCAAATTGCCCGACTACGTCGCACCTTGGTGCGACGTCAGGGACATGAGGCCGGCGGGTCCGAAGAGACCCACGAAGAGATTGCTGAAGAAGGAGGTGTCGTTGGACAGCGACACTTGGCGCAGGAAGTACGGTCACCTGACATCAGGTAGGACCGTCAACGTTTTATTTCTCTCGAAAAGCATTTTTTTATGTAAACATTTTATGCAGATATGTTAACTGAAAACTGAACGGAGAAACGAATCTTTCAGGGATGTCGGCGTCGTCGGTGGAGAATCTTCAGAGACGTTTCAGCGTGAGCACCTCCATGGATGAGATCAGCAAAGTGGGATTAACGAGCAGTTCGTCGGGACTGGGCCCGGAACAAGCTGCTCTTGCCCAGTCGCAACATTTTGACCAATTAGAAGCGCTTTGGAATATACAGTCACCGCCATCCAGGTCACGATCACATGGTAGAACCTTGTCCAAGCAGAGTTCCCTGCAGGCCACACGGATCTCCGACTCTGAGGAGGAGGGTCAGTAACATCTCCCCATAAAGAATAATTTATAAGCCATAATAATATAATAATATAATAATAATAATAATAATAATATAATAATATAATAATAATATAATAATATAATAATAATATAATAATATAATAATATAATAATAATATAATAATATAATAATAATATAATAATAATATAATAATATAAGCCATCTAAACTCTGTCTAACCGGTGTCTATACAGGGTATCCCAAAATTATTGTACAAGCGGGAAATGCGAGGTTCCTGAGGTCATTTGAAGTAACTTTTTCCTTAGCGAAAATGCGATCCGTGGCTTCATTTACAAGTTATTGGCGAAAAACAGTGACCAATGAGAGGCGAGCTCGGCTGGCGCGAGGCGATCCAGCCAACGAGCGCGCGAAGCCCAGTTCTGCTCATTGGCTCGGTCGGCTCGCGCCAGCAGGTCTCACCTCTCATTGGTCACTGTTTTTCGCCAATAACTTGTAAATGAAGCCACCGATTGCATTTTCGCTAAGGAAAAAGTTACTTCAAATGACCTCAGGAATCCTTCAGGAACCCCTCATTTCTCGCTTGTACAATAATTGTGGGACACCCTGTATATTCTTTCCAATTTCTTTGAACCAATTCGTCCAGTCCTAAGTTTATATGCATATTTCGAACATTTTGCATACATAAAGTACACAATCAGCTTCTATGTATCCAGCACTGTTAGGCAAATCTGTTTCATGATCTCCAACCAAGAAACAACTTCCAATCAAAGAAAAAAATATTTTTATGACAGCCTGTAATCTAGAGACTTTGATGATCTAATGTTAAATTTTTGTTTTAGGTCTACCGGCTTAAGGCACAGTCACATTAGAAATCAAATCCTGAGAGTCTAATCTCTGGAAGATCCTAATCATCGTACCTTCTTCTCCATTCGACCAGTAGAGGAACGATGGAGAAACAAATAATGGAACAAATAGGAAAAGAAAAAAAAATACAAAAGTACGTCCCCCGCAGCAATGCTCTAAGTTACGAAATATTCTCGTGTGTCCGATGCAATAAACGTGTGTGTATGGAATATACATCTACACGCGTAATATCGATATTTAAAGAGGAATAAATTGAAGTGGTTTATTTTCATCGTTCATCGCCCCACCTGCTCGCGAACGATTATATTTTCGTTCGACGTTGTTAGTTTACCAACAAAACTCGTTTTGCAATGAATTTTCTGGCGACTTTATTTCGCAGAAATAACATGTATATATTATATATTCTTATTTATACATATATTAATCGTGATTAACACTTTACCTACTGGAACCAATGAACGTTTCAACGATTGTGCTGTACCGGGGAAAAATTGAAATAATATATCGATCTATGAATAGATTTGCTGTCGCAAATGACAAATGTTTTTTCTAGAATTTGCGAAGTCACTTTTGGCAGGTAAAGTGTTAATTAACGGGCAAGATGCAAATATTTTACGCTTACAAAAATAATCATTTACAAATTGCAATGTATGTTTACTAGACTGCAGGCGTTACACATTTATAATAATAATTTATTATAATTCCTCTTGTGTGTGTGGAACAACGTGACATGGAAAAATATTTGTGTTGGTTGAGTGAGATTGCCATTTTTATCGGAGTCCAGCGAAATCTTGTAAAAGAAACTTCACTTGAATATTTATATTTGCATAGAGAGCTGCAGTCTATAGTGTCTACACTTCAATCTTCTGTAGGTTGATCTGCGTAATAATCCGCCATTACTCTCCAAGCCCGCGGCGCCATAAATCCTTCCGGCGGATTTTCTCCGGATTTCGCCAATTCTACAATGAAAAGAAAAATGTTGATTTGTTAAGTTTAAATTAAGAATAACTTTAGATGCGTATTTATTTGCTCGTTGAATAATTTTTAAAAAGAGAACCTCCTATTTTGCACACACAATTAACTCAATCGCTGTTACTTCAATGCCGGTTTCGTAATCAATTAATTTAACGTAACATTAATATTTTTAATTGTAAGGTTTCTACCATGTCGTTTTTGTACATTTGTATTAGACTGTTGCTTTCGTTCTCGATGTCAGTGTGATTATTATGTCGGTGTGTACATTAATTTATACATTAATTTATTGTTCGGTGGCCATATCGGCAGATTATTTTTGAGCCATTGGCGTCGAAGTGTACCGTGCATACGTATTTTCTACATCGATATTCAATATTGATATTAATTTCGTATTTCTACAATTGGCATCGATGTTAATTCCTTCAGCGGCCCATATTGGTATCCAGCTGATTTCAGATCTGTTACTTTCCGACGTTGATGTGTACTGTTAATGCACATGTTGTCCATCAATGTTTAGTATTAATGTCAATCTTGAATTCAAACATCCGATATCTCAATATCAATTTTGTACATTTATATTAAATTGAAAGTTTTATTTCCGATATTTAAGATCAACGTCGTTCTACTCATTCATCGTTCGGCAGCCATATCGGTGGCCTCCAATTAAATCCTTGAAACTCTTAGTTTTAAGATTATCTCTGTATTTACATTAGTGTTGACAAATGTAACCGACCTCGCATCTTAGTCCCCGATATGAAAATGAAGTCCTGAGATCGCTGGGGCTCGAAGAACGACATTTTCTTCGACTTCTTATCGAATGCCGCCACTCTGAATGGGATTATCTCCAAACTTTGGAGACCCGGCGCCATTGACAACACTCTGGATCCGTGCGTCCCGTCGTACAAGCCACCTGATGTCGCAAACATAGTTTATTTAATTCACAACAATCGTATCCAGGCTCTCCGAGTAATATGTTTTCGCTTTACCATCCGGAGTTTTGGATTTGTCAGGATGAGGCAAACCAGCAGGATCACGTCCGACAATGTAAAAATCAGCACCGGCCATCATCCTTGCCTTGGCATGCCACTGCACCTGCGATAATTCGTAGTAATATTATATATTATATAATATTATATTTATATTATATTTATATATATATAAATATAAAAATATATATAATTATATATTATATTATATTTTATATATGTATATATATAATTATATATTTTTATATTTATATATATAAATAATTCGTAGTAATTCCATTATTTGTTTCTAGTAAAAATGGTAATAACAATACAGTTCTGAACCCGTTTCTAAGTCAATCGCTAAATTGCAGACAATATGTTATTAATACCTCAGTGGGTCCAGCGTACAACATCGGACTTGGGAAAATGGCGAGAATTGTGTCCTTATGTAGAACTCCTTCTTCCAGAACACAACGGTGTTGTTTTATCCTTATCGGCAGCGGCACGTCGTCCTCCTTCGTCCATCCTCCCAGCGGATGCAGCAGAAGGACCGGTTTCTTGAAGCCTCTTTCCTCCACGAGGTACTTTCTCGTATCCTGATTATTATTGCAGACTATTTTTCATACGTGGACTTCGCAGTCGGACACGGTTCAATTTAATTGCAGCGTTTCGGAATTGTACTTTGAAACACGGTAATTTCTCCCGGAAATGTTCGGAGGTTGGAATTGAAACCGGCAAATCTGAGAATGCTAAGTCGCGATAATATGAATACATAGTGATGCTAGAATAAAAGCGATGGCCTAACTTTTTTATTTCTAATTTTTTGCCACGATTCGGAGGCAATTCGGAGGCCACGTGCCATGATTCTGAGGCAATTCTGAAGTCACGTGCCACGATTCGACGGTCACGTACTTAGAACAGTAAATTCTCCCCAATTTTCCTTCAGCTTGTGAACGAAAATGGATAATTTGGGAAATATAGATACAATTATTCGAGCCTCGCGGCTCATTTTTATAGCCGCCGATTGACAACAATTATAATTGACGCTCAGCTTGGAAACAAAAATGGACAATTTGGGAAGAGGAGATACGATTATTCGAGCCTTGCGGCTCGTTTTTATAGTTGTTGACAATCGGTAACTATAAAAACGAATAATCGTATCTCCTCTTCCTAAATTGTCCATTTTTGTTTACAAGTAGAAGGAAAATTATTGAATTTACTGTACCTCCCACGTACCTTGTAACTCCGCGGTTTTTCTTACTTGACTCCGACGACGCATACGACTCGCATCGACGTAGCAATAAATTACATAGGTGTAGGACTAGCACAGCGAAATTCACAGCAACCCGAAATCTGGCATTTCCGGGAGAAATTACTGTACCTGCATTAAAAGCGCATGGCCGTTATGCACCGGGTTCCTCAATTGAAACGCGAAAACGACGTCGGCGCCCATTTCTTTGCACTTCCTCCGTATCTCGTTGGGGGTGAGCCTGTAATCATCCAGGCCATCGTTCCACCGGATTCTTTCAAAAACTTCAAGCTCCCCACCGACCAGCCAGTCGCCTGAGTTCTGAATCATTTTAACATGTGGATGGCCTGGATCGCTGGTTCCAAATTCCCTGGAACACCTGCAATTATAAAACAAGATGTACAAATATATTACATTCTCATAATACAATTACAGAAAATTCTCCCTAATTTTCCTTCAGCTTGTAAACAGAAATGGACGATTTGGGGAGAGGAGATACGATTATTCGAGCCTTGCGTCTCGTTTTTATAATTGATGACATAAAAATGAGCCACGGGGCTCGAATAATCGTATCTCCGCTTCCCAGATTGTCCATTTTCGTTTACAAGCTGAAGGAAAATTTCGGAGAATTTATTGTATGTCGGTAATGTCGTCGGTGAACATTTTCGGAAACCGAAAAAATCGATTTGACAAGATGAATAGTTTGCATCGGGACCTTTCTTCCTTCCGGTGTGCAAAAAATTCAGGACTGCGTAAAATTGCCACAGGACGACCTTGATGCTTCAAGGTCAATGCTGGCGCGTCGTTGCATCGTTGCTTCTCGGTCGCGGTGACCGGAAGTACGATGGGTATCGACTGATTGATAACACCGCCGTTTTGTTCCAGAGTTTTGAAATGTTGACACTGAAATAAATATTCAGTATATTGTTGAGCTTTTCTTCTACGATTTTCAATTGTCCGCAGTTCAAACGATCTTGCCCCACCTGCAAGTACTCCTGCTCTCTCATGAAACCTCTTAAGGGTGTCGCCCAACCCTCGGCCAGCACTTGGACCCATTGTAAGTCAACGTTACTAATTTCGATACCTGAAAAAATATCGGAGATTATTTTTCTCTAATAATTACATTAAATTCTCCGTAATCGACGCTCAGATTGTGCACGAAAATGGACAATTTGAGAAGAGCGGATACCATTAGTTTTCGTAATTTTTATAGTTACCGATTGTCAACGACTATAGAAACGAGCCTCGTGGCCTAAATAATTGTATCTCCTCTTCCCAAATCTTTGTGCACAATCTTAGCGTCAATTAGGGAGAATTTACTGTATCAAGTACTAATTCAGCAAATATTTTTCAGAAATCTGAACACGAAACGATGGGACGACAAAGAAGGAAGACATACTCGGAAGATTCTCTGCTTCGAGTTTAACTGCCTCGACCCTCTCGCTGGCGACGAAAAGCTCCTCGACATCCCTGGGAATCCTTGGAATAATTCCTTCCCTCTCCAACAAATCGATCACCATGTTCGTCGACTTCTCCACGCTACGAACTTCCGTGTTCACGATCAAATCCGGCTGCCTAGGCACCTCGTATTGCTGCCCAACCCCAGTGAAACTGCGAATCATCCCTTCCCGCGCCTTCTTGTACAATCCTTTAACGTCCCTTGCTTCGCAGATGGCCAACGACGCTTCCACATAGATCTCGAAGAACTTTAAATCGTGTTCCTCGACGATCTTCCTGGCCAGTCTTCTGTCGTCCTCGAATGGCGAAACGAAGCTGCAAATGGCCACCACGCCGCAGTCGGAGAACAACTTGGCAACCTCCGCTGCCCTGCGAACGTTCTCTTCGCGATCCTCTTTCGTGAAACCCAAGTTCCTGTTCAACCCTCGCCGGATATTGTCGCCGTCCAGGCTGTAGGCTGGTATCCCCTGCAACCGGGAAGCCATCCGGGTAAAAATAGATCAATTCTTAATGGGGAACAAAAATATGGCTACACGGTTCCCGAGATGTCCAATTTTAGGAGTAAAGCAGAAACTTTTCAGCTTTAGGAATTTCTAGAGCCTCAACTGTTGCTGTTTTAAAAATGTTCTTCGCGTAGAACGAACTTGTAGATTCGATTAACGCTAGATTTACGGAACCTGTCGAAATGACGGGTCACTAATTTTTTCATTTACTTACGGCGAATGTTATAGTAACACTCGTTAAAAATCAGAATAAATGTCTTGTTGTTACTTTTATAAACTAATATAAAACAATTTTTTGTGTGATTTTTGTGCTCCGTAAATCTAGTGTTAAATAGAATGGTGTACAGTAATTTCTCTTGGAAATGCCAGATTTTGGGTTGCCGTGAATTTCGCTGTGCTAGTTCTACACCTATGTAATTTATTGCTACGTCGATGCTAAGGAATTCCCAGAAGACAATACAAAATGGTCTGTTTGGATAAGAAAAGGGGAAGAAAAACTGCTGAGCTACAAGGTACGTGATAGTTATAATAATTTCTCCCTAATTCGCGCTCGGATTGTGCACAAGAGTGGACAATTTGGATGGCGAAGACACGATTATTCGAGCCTTGCGACTCGTTTTCATAGTTACCGATCGTATTTTCCCAAATTTTCTATTTTTGTGCGCAATCTGTGCGCGAATTAGGGAGAAATTACAGCAATAGGTACATGACCGTTGGAACGTGGCACGTGGCCTTCAAATTGCCTTCGAATCGTGTCATGTGGCCTCCGAATTGCCTTCGAATTGTGTATAATTATTAGACTCTTTGGGCAAAATAAAAATTGACCTCCGAATTGCCTTCCCAGTCGCGTCACATGGCCTCCGAATTGCCTTCAAATCGTGGCACGTGACCTTCGAATTGCCTTCGAATCGTGTCATGTGGCCTCCGAATTGCCTTCGAATTGTGTATAATTATTAGACTCTTTGGGCAAAATAAAAATTGACCTCCGAATTGCCTTCCCAGTCGCGTCACATGGCCTCCGAATTGTCTTCAAATCGTGGCATGTGGCCTTCAAATTGCCTTCGAATCGTGTCATGTGGCCTCTGAATTGCCTTCGTATCGTATCACGTGGCCTCCGAATTGCCTCCGAATCGTGGCAAAAAATTAGAAATAAAAATGTTAAGTCATCGTTTTCACTCCAGCATTACTATGTATCCATATAAACGTGTACCGGCACGCTGGTCGCTGCCTTTTTCACCGACTGCTCCGAGTTTCTATAAAAACGAGCCACGAAGTATCGTGACTTAGTATTCTCAGATTCGCCGGTTTCAATCTCGACCTCCGAACATCTCTGGGAGAAATTACTGTATTCTGTATGTAAAATCGTTGATGTTTAAACGTGTCCGGTATCATTTCTGGGATGTCTAATTGTTTAGGAAACGGGGACACTTCCGGCTTTAGAAATTTCTTCTTCGTTAACTGCAGAAGCTATGAACATGTCTTTGGTGTAGAATGATTTTGTGTGCTGTATCGAGTTCTATGGTGTATTTTCGCGAGGCCAATGATGTTCGAGCTATATTTGAGAAATATTTTTCTCGTTTATTATTATTATTATTATTCGTTTATTCGAATCGAACAGGAGTCAGCTGTTGAATTCGAGTGAACCAGCTGTTGAGTTTCGTTTGGACGAGAATTTGAGCGTCGGTCCGTTACTGGCTGTCATTAACTCGCCTGAGAAATGAGGTAGTTCTCGAGTTGGAACGAGATCGAAGTCTTCCCAGCACCAGAAAGTCCCGTTAACCATACGGTGCAGCCACGGAATCCCTTGAATCTCCCATAAGACTCTCCTCGTTTCTCACGCGACACTTGATGGATCTGTTGTATCACGTTCGATGCGATGATCTGCAATCACGCGGCACAAATATATCTAGAATTTTCTGAAAATATGAAGCCTGAATGGTGCGCTTCGCATATTTTCATAGAAATCATTTTAAAAGCGAATAATTCTAATTAATATCTGACGAATTGATAACAAAAATTAGCGACAATTAGTATCATAAATGGGCAACAATAATTGGTAATAAATAGCATTTAAATTAAATCTAGTAAAACTTTATTCTCTTTGTCATGAAATTAACAATAATGATTATTAATAGATAATGTTTAAAGTAATAAAATTCTAGTAATCTTTGCAATCGAATCAAAAATAAAATATGCAACGTTTTCAATATTTTTTGATATATTAAATACGCACTGTGAAGTAAAATTCGTTTAAAAAATTCTAACAAATGCGAAGAAACATGAACTTAGTCATTGTTCTATGACAATATTAATTATCTATTAATTATTCAATAATTTTCTGAGACCATCATTACATAATCTCGACGCATTATACCTTATCGCTTTTCCTGCATGTGGACCGCTCCTCCACGAACGAGTTCAAGTACATGCCCATTTCGAAAACAATTCTACAATTATAATTGTCGAACGTAATTTTTGCACGTCGTAACCCAGTTGAATTTTTACACAATTGCAATTCCTTTATCGACTTTCTAAACAACGCAAAGCATTTACAATGTTTACGATTTCATTTTTACACAATTATGATTTTTGAATTTACTTTTTACACAATCACGATTCTTCAATTTAATCCTTCAATTTTTGTTTCACACAATTTCGACTATTCAATTTATAATTCCCTCAATTTACCTTTTACACAATCTCAATCTTTCAATTTAATCCCCTTAATTTTCTTTCTACACAATTTCGATTTTTCAATTTAATCCCTCAATTTACTTTTTACGCAATTTCAATTCTTCAATTCGATTCTTTAATGTACTTTTTACACGACTACAATTTCTCAGTTTAGTTTCACAGGATCGCAGCTTCTTCGATTTAATTTTGACAACAATTTCAGCATACGCAAGCAAAAGTTTTCCCTCGTTCTCTTTAAGCGAACCGTACGGTTATTTTCACTGCGAAGGTGGACAGCGCGGAGCAGATAGTTTAGAGTATTTTTTTTAACGACACACAGGATGAACACGATAAAGAAAGTGTACTACTCGGACACATGGCTCCCACTCGACTGGTGAAGATCCGAGGCACTGTCCACAGCGAGAAAGTTAAACGAAAGTTAAACGAACCCGGCAGTGGAATCGAAAAATTCCACGAGATTCCTCGAATGCCGGCAAGGAAATCGTGGGTTTGATAGATGCGATATGGAACGTAATGCAAACGTCGCTTGACCCTCCATACTATTTATTAGACACTAATCGGAAACATAAAACATACAGGGTGGCTCGGTAAAATATTCAAAGATTTTCCGAAAAATCGTGCAACAACAAATCCCGGCTTATTTCAAATCTCGAAATTTCTACTTTCGTAATTCGTCGTTTATTTTCTTTATCCTCCATGGCAATTCGTGATGTATATACTTGTATAATAAATGGCAAATTAAAAACAATTTTGTTATCGATAATATACTGTGGATTAGAATGTCTCTAAAATCATTTGAAAATTTTTTTTCCTTAATAATACCACCGCAGATTTGAAGATTGGAGCTTCCTCTTTGCAACGAGCCCTTGAAAATTGAAGTGTGATTTTTTTTTGGCTGTTTTATTTGGGGTAGAAACGAGGAACATGTACGTAGGTTGTTGTATACCTTATATTATCGTAAAGATAGAAGCACACAGTTTTCAGTGAAAGTTCAATAAAACTATAAAAAGGGATTTAATGTTTTAATTAATTCGTTGAATTACTTTTAATTTATTCTTAAGATTTTTTTACAATGTAATTATTTTTTATTGATTCAAAGATTGCTTGCAACAGTCGAATTTACTTTGTTGTTCGATACTTGTAACAAATACTTTAGTCATTTATAATCAATGAAGACTAAAACTGACGCCTGTTAGTATGCAACCATCTGTACAGACGTGTATCTCTTATTGTCAACCAGCTCGTTATTTAAATCGAACCACCCGGTATATAATTAAGCAAAGAAAAATGTTCATATTGATTTTAACAACTTGTAAAATAAATTATTCATTATCTATTACTTGAATCGAATTAATAATACATTGAATAAAGAATAAATATATAATTATGATAAATAAATATCATTTAACGTTACATTTTCATTCTGTTGTTCTAACTAGGAAATGTACATTTTTGGATACTGCTTTTGTCACGATATCGTAACGAAAATATTTCGGCAAACCTTTTTGTCAATTATTTCGGATGCGTGGCAGTGAATAATTGTTGTTGTTAGATGATGGAGAAAAAATGGGAACGCGGGACTGATAATAATGCGTGATCTAGTTTCACGAGAGTGAAACGTGCGTATTTTAGCCGCGTTTCGGAAAAATAGTTTCGTCGACCGAGAATCGACCACTTCACTGTACACATGTATGTACACATATGTATATATACCTTTGAATGTTTATCCTTGAATTTAATACAGACAGATGGAAAAATGAATGAATATAAAATGTAACAAGATGGTTAACAAAACTTACATACAATGATATTATCAACTAAACAATTTCATTGGAACTGCTTCGTTATCAAATGATTAATTAATTATTAACTATTATTACTGTTTCAGTACAATTTCTAAGGTGTTAATTATAGTATCACTAGAAAGTTAAAGTATTTTACGATACAAGAAATTTTAACATTTATTATGATGTGGTTATATTAAATGAGTTATATTAGTTATTGTAGATGAAGAAATCATTAATAAAAACATCATCAAGTCCACACAAATAGAAGAGAAATGAAAATAAAAATTCTCAACAAAATACACTTGATAATACACATTCAAGATAAATTGTTCAAGTTGAAACTATCTGAACATCAGATGAAAATGGAAGAATTATTTTTGGTATTAGCTGAACAATAAGTAAAAATGAGAGAATTATTTGGAAGTAGTTAAACAACATATAAAAGTGAGGGAATTATTTGAAACTCACATGCTTGCATTCTCTGTTAGACAGTCGACCGTCATTTTCACAAATCATTGCTTTTAATTAATAGACGCCCAGTTGGCAGCACGGCTTCAATACTGTTGCTGGACGCGATAAATATATTTTTCAACGGAGATCGTGTAAACAATAATGATCTCTGTGGAAAGACTGGATAACTGGAGACACGTGTTCTTTCATATATTGCCGCGAAGGGTTACAAAGATGTCTTTTTCTTTCAGGGGGGGAGAAATTACCCACTTTCTCTATCTGTCTCTCTCTCTCTCTCTCCTGCTCTCTCGCCCCTTCTCCCTCTCTCTCTCTCTCTCACTCTCTCTCCTGCTCTCTCGCTTCGTCTCTCTCCCTTTTGCTCTCTCTCTCTCTCTTTAACCCGTTTTCTTGAACGGTGGCCCTGGAAATAGGAAAAACCAAACGCCGATGAAAAACTCGAGGACACATAACAGTGAAATTTGCAATTTAGTGCAGCAACGTTTGCGTTGGCCTATTTTAGTATTCGCGGAACGAAAATCAGATCGGAAGTCGGTTCTCCAGTTTCCAATTTTCTTGTCTTAGATTTTGTATCGCTTTGTCTTGTTCTCTGTCTGATTATTTATCCTTGACCTAAATAGATTTTCTATTACACTTGGTTTAATACTTACTGTTTTTTAATTTGACATTATTTTATCTTTCAAATCGGAGTAGAAAGAAATTGCATTAAAGCAATTATTGTCTTTTACTTTTATCATATTATTTTTCCGTTTAAATAATTTTCCTATTTTAATTTCCTGTTTCTAACAATGCGATTATTACTCCATGCTATAATACTACTGGTTTAAAGAAGAAAATATTGAAATAGTGAATGTTAAATAATTAAGGAACTATACGTTTTTCAATTTTATTTTCTTGTTAACGATTTTCATGTTTAATGTTGAATTGAAATGAATTAGATCATGGAAAATAAGATTAATGTGAAATTAAAAATTTGTTAGACAACTTACGTGTAACGATTATTTAACTATTAATCATTGCAATATTCCTTTCTCGAGATGTTACTGTCATTGTTTGTGTCACGAAGCTTACTGACACCTACTATTATGTATTATTATCGCTCAACGGTTATGGCAGCGGATGTAGATAGAAAGGAAGGTTCTCATAATATAGACAAACGTAATAGTTTTTAAATATTTACGCTAGAGTTCTTATAATTTTTAATTTTTTTAAATTATAAATTTAATACAATTTTTATTTAATAATCTTTCATTTATATTTTTATATATTAGTCCTCTTATCTAAGTAAAGATCTTGTTCGCATACCCGTAGAGAAAATATTGCTAACACTATGTTAATAATAAAATAAAAATATATAAAACCCTATAATAAAATTCTCTTACAGCAATACTGTATAGCATAGAATTATTGGAAGATTTAATTTTATAGATGGACGTATAAAACAAATTCGCTATGTTTGAGTTGTTATTTTAATCAAGGGTTGAAATTATTGAATATTCTTTATCTGTACATAACATTTCGGAAGTATGACTATGTGCCAGATAAGCAGGTTCTATGCGTTGCATTGGATTAGGGGCAATAGTTGAGTCAAGAATGGTAAGATGACGCCACCGACACACGACAAAATGGCGGAAGATCATTAAAATTTTTTCAAAAGTAGTAATATTAATTAGTCATTTTGTTCACAAATATGTCTTTAGTTGCGTAAAGTACAATTTAATTTAATTAATTATCTGCAATTCATTTTTGACCCTTATTGTATAAAACAACATACGCTACATGAAACTAAATAAAACTACAACGATGTATATTCATTTTGATAACATTTATATTACACGATTGATCATAATTTTATAAATTGTATCAATCAATACAATCAATTGCACAATTTTATAATTGTTTATAATTACAATCGTTGTACATACATTCAATCACATTTCTCAATGTATTGTATTAATAGATAATATTGATTAATATAATATTGAATATATTATTGAATCGTAAAGATCATTTCTATAAAGATACAGATTTCTAATACTCTCATACAAAAATGATTACAGTAAAATTACTTCTCCATGATTTGAATAATCGTTCATTAATGTTTTGTGTGTCTAACTTCCGGCAGTTCTAACTTCAGAACACTCTGGATAGTTTTCATTGTAAAACGGAATCTGGTGTCACTCAAGAGTATAGAAATCAGTTTCCGAGCAAAATTGTACAAGTTCTTGTTAGTGTTATAGAAATATATATAAATAAACAATGTCGACAAAGTCTTCCGTCGATTTACGGGCGGAACTTGCCGAATTAGTGAAACGAAAAGCAGAAATAGCTGTAAGTATTGTCAAACTATCAAATTGGTCTATTTTTTTCAATTCTCTTGTTTTCATGTAAATCGTATCTCTGATTCAATAAATAATTGCGTAACTTTCGTGAGAAGTTAACAATTACTCCTAATTATCAATTGCTTTAACGTGGCATTAAAGATTTTACGCGCACTTTCGATCCTTACGAAATGTTTGAGGTTACATTAACATAACCTTTTGGTAATGTTTTTCTTATTAGTCCCCTTTTAATATTGACCTCAATCCTTCAACCTGTTACTTGTTACGATCAAGCAATAGAAAGGTTTTCAAATGGAAATGTGGAATATCTTATAAAGGTTCATTAACATTTCTGGATATTTTATAACCTTGTTAGTTTGTTTTGATCACTGATATTGACAAAGAAAATTTGATTGGTTTTACTTTTGAGTTTAGAAATGATAAATATTTGATAAACAGTTCTGAATACTATTATGACTACAAAAGTATTTTGTGTAAAATATGATTTTACGAATAATGTAATTATTACAATAAACAATTTCTGCTGGGTAAAAATGTTAGATATTCCGAGATCATTTAAAAATGTATGAAAAGGAATAATATTTACGGTTGTATTGATTTAACTTTGTCAATTAATTGTATTGTATAGAGTGAAGAAGCTTCTAATTTTATAGGATACTCTTGCCAACTTAGAACGTCAAATCTATGCATTTGAGGGTAGTTATTTGGAAGACACACAATTATATGGCAATATAATACGTGGATGGGACAGATATTTAGCCAGCAATAAAAACACTAACAGCAAAGCAGACAAGCGTAACAGGAAGTTCAAAGAAGCCGAAAGACTTTTCTCAAAATCTTCTATTACATCCATGGCTGTGAGTACTTAGTGTTCTATTTTGAAATGTCATTTAATGAAGTCAACATTCCAACATTTTTAACACCTTTCTCTATCTAAAAACTAACGCAGATTATTGTATTATATATTAATAATCATAATAAGTACTAGAATTAAAATATGAAACTGTAATGTGATACTGCAGAAACCATTTGCAGTAGGAATGCACAAAAAATGATGTCTTTTGTAGATTTCCATCAGGCTAATTAATATAAACATATGTGACCAACTATAAATATTTAAGCAGTTAATATGTATACTTCTTTGCATGTTTGTATGTCTGGGAAATGGAAAAATAAAAGAATAATTAAATGCTTATTAATTTCGATATATAAAAGATTCAAAATGTGTAACATGCCGATAATACATAAACGTTCACTTTATTTTAAGTAGAACACTATTCTGTGAATAGTAAAAAGATACACAATTTATATGAATTATGAAGATTGTATTTTTGCAGGCGGTTAGCGGACTTGTGGAAAATACCCAGGAAAAAAGTAAGGACCTCAATGGATATTCCTGAGATAGTTAATTTTTGAATGTGAAAAATGACTACAACTTTATTTTTCATCCTACCATCCCTTCCAACTTTTCTTTTCATCCTATCCTTTTTATCCTCAATGAATATTCCTGAGATAGTTAATTTTTTAATGTGAAAAATGACTACAACTTTATTTTTCATCCTACCATCCCTTCCAACTTTTCTTTTCATCCTATCCTTTTTATCCTCAATGAATATTCCTGAGATAGTTAATTTTTTAATGTGAAAAATGACTACAACTTTATTTTTCATCCTACCATCCCTTCCAACTTTTCTTTTTATCCTATCCTTGAGAGCGATTCTTTTTAGTTGTTAAGTTTATCCTTGATTGTACTTCTTTTTCTTTTTANGGATTGTTATGCAACTTAGATAGATAAATTAATGATTAAACGTTTGTAGGATTGTTTTCGTACCTTTACTTTGAATTTGACTATACAATTTTTATTTTCTTCTGTATTTCAGTTATAAATAAATTTTTATTTATTACCTATCTATTTTTTTTTCAATTAATCTGTTTCG